GGAATTACCAGACAGTCAGAATGGTAAGTACAGGTATGGGCTTAAGAAAGCACATTAGCTTAATGGATAGTGGGAGTCCATGAAATGGCTGAGTTTGACCCATTAGATCTGCTCTGGTAGTTCAGAGGCAGCTGCATAAAATTAAGACCTTTGGAGTAATCCAAGTGACCCACAATCAGAAACACCTAAGTGGAATCTACCCTAAAGGAACAGGAGTTTAGCCCTGTATCTTTCAACAGTTCCATCCTCTCTCTCTTTTTTAAATCCTCACCTGCCACAATGGAAATTGGGCCTAATGTAGGTTAAATTCACATTGGCTGCTATCAGTCACTGGAGTAAAAATGAAGCGTGTGCCATATGGTCACGGAATTTGCCTAACATGCCCTAATTAATAAGAGGCTCATAAGTCAGAAATCAATGTAGCATTAAGTGCTCATCGTAGGCAAGCTAAAAAGGGGTATAATCCTGTGGCTGTTATGTTCATGGAAATGAATGAATGAATGTTTATAAAGGATTTCATTAAAGGGCAAAGGGAAACTGCTGAAAATGTCCCTATTATTGCGACAGTGATGTATCTGAATGTGTCCATTTGTTCCTGTATTGAAAGTAATGAGCAAATGCAGAATTTTTTTCTCTTTACCTTGGTAACTGAAAATGACACAGATAATAAACACTCCTGTGTTGCAAGACTAGCTTAACTCTGGCCTTATATGTAGGCTTGGCAGAATTGAATTTTTATAGTTTTTATAATCCATGTTACTTTTTAAGCATTTTCTGTTTTTATCAGATTTTTTTTTTTTTAATTTTGACAGTTGTGGGAAATTGGGGGGAGTATAAACAATAATTATTTAATGACACACGTTGAGATTCAAAAAGTTAAAGCTTTTGTAACCATTAAAACACAAGTTGTCAATATCAATTGACAAAATATACAAAGTAAATATCCTTAAATCAAGCTCTAACAAATTCTCAAGCAGTGTTTTTCTTACTTGGCCTCGCTTCCCATTTCAATTCTCATGGATGGAAATAATTTTTCTTTGGCTTATGTGTGTGCAGTGAAATTGAGGTTTACCAACATTTACAGATAAAAATCCAATCCTGCCGAGCCTGCTGATGTGTTGGGTTGGAATGATCGGTTCATTGAAACCATATTGTTGAATTCAGTTAAAACCTTCATTGAATTAAACAAACAGAACACAAAGTGTTAAAACGTCCTTTGGAAACAAGAAAGCAGACACTGGAAATAAGCTGATTGCAGTGCACTAATCACTCTGGTTTTTAATTTGACCGTTTCTGCTGTCCTAATTTCTGTTTTGAAGAGAGGTTTGTTCACATGATGCAGGTTACTACCATCTCCTACTGCATTCTAAAAAAATCAAATCAAATCTGAAATAACGTTGAACATCAGGCATTGGGTAAAGGAAATAAGGGCCAGTACACCATCTGGAAATTATCGCTGTGAGGTATGGACATTATAGACTAGCTTCTTTTTCTTACCTTCCCCTGTGTTCTTGTCTGTCTTTCTACATCTGCAGAGTTATTATTGGAGCTGGCTGAAAATCGCTTTTTTTTTCCAAAATGTTTTTCCAACAAAAAATGGCTTTTGGATTAAATGGAAACTTTTGCAAGCATTTCTGTTTTCTGTTGAATGTTTCAGGTTTTCGTCCAGGCACGTGCGTAAGTGCTGCGTCTGAGTGCTCAAACATCTTCCTGATACATCACCAGTAAATGACTGGATGTCTTGTGCTTCTTTTCCAGATGACTTTTTGTGTAGTAAATCGGCCAAATTTGCAGATATTTCGGTGCCCTTGCATTTTGCATTCCAGTTCAACGCAGTATTTTCTATCAGAAATGCCCATCCTTTCCTTTAGGTGCTCAGAATAATGACTAATAGCAATCATTGGTATTGCTGGTGCATGTGTTAAATCTTTGGGTATAGAATCTTCGTACAGTGGTTGGCATCCTGTTACCTGATTGGGGCTCTCTAGGTTCTACTGAAATACACATGATAAAACCTCCAGAAATGCCCATTCATATTCTACCCTAAAGCAAGCTGAAGGGATTGTTCCGTGTATGACAGAATTTCTCTTGGCTGGTGATGGTAGGAAATCAATATACAGTATTAGCTGCTGCTTTTACTGGGGTTTTGTTCCTAGAATAAAGCAGACATTCCAGTCTGTCTCTTGGACCCCAGGCTAGACTTGTTATAACCGGTATCTGTGTTCCTTTCCGTAGCCACAGTGGCTGTGATGTAGTTGAAGCAGTGACACCATCACAGCAAGAGCCAAGAATCCCCGGTAATTAACAGACTAGCTCAGTGGGGACAAATTAATTCAAATAATCTCCCCAGGAGGCAATGTCTGAAGAGCAAACTCCTACGTCTGGCATGTCAGTATCTGACCGCTCACAGTCGTCCACACTCCCAGGGAATCCCGTCAAACCAAAACAAGGCGATCTACATGGTAGCCCTGGCTGAAACACTATACCATTCTTCCCTCCCCTTGTGTTACAATGGATTACAAAATACTCACCAGTATTTGCGGAACTATTACAGTAGGAGGCTATGAATCTGCTTCACAGATGTTTGCTTTACTGGTAGTTTACCGAAACCAAGGACTTACCCATGTGCATTTCTTTGTTCACATTAAATGAAGCCAGGAGCTAAATACTTTAAGGTCAGTGCTGAAAGTGCTATTAAATATTTAGTGTATTTAGCATTCTGACCTATCTTGTTTTCAAGCCTTAAAAAAGCTTGACACCACCTCCTAGTGGACACAAGAAGCCCATAACTAAGATCTGACATTTCAGTGTGGCTTTACAAAAAGGAGAGAACAAAGGAAAGAGAAATGTCTGCAAGTCTTATGCCCTAATTAAGAGACCAAACAAACAATCCCTCGGCTGCTGTACACAGACAGTTTTAGACAGAGCAGCTTGTAGAATAGTTTTATACACTCAAGAAGCGAAGACTGGGGAATTTTCTACAATTCCACTGAGAAGAAACTAACACGAGACTGATGTGCATTAATAGATCTGTGTGCTGTAGTCACCAAGTGAACTGTGCATTTTAAAAATCTTTCAGCTTTCTCTCTGCAAATAGAGGAAAAACACAGGGTTGTGCAAATAACTGACTTTTGGGTTTAGTGGATGGAGCAAGAAGTTGGGTGGGGGGGATCTGTTTGTGTCGAAACAAAAAAAAATCATTTTAAAAAAAAATGTTTCCTTTAATTTTTGATGTTTTTAAATCTTTTTTTAGAATGGTTTTAAAAAATATAATTGAGTGAGTTTCCAAAATGAAAAGTCAGATTTTCTTTCAAAATGCTGAAATGAACCATTTTGACATTTATGAAACTTTTTATTTGACAGAGAGAATTTGGAAAAATTGACCCAAATTCATTCAATGTTTTGGTCATCCAGAATCTGCATTTTTCTGCAAAAAAATAAACAACCCTCCCTCCAAAATACAGGTTTGCACAAGAAAATTTTGCCCATCTCCAGGAAAAAAAAAGATGATTCCTAAAAGTTTTCCTAAAAGAATTTTTGATCCCAGTGGAGAGAAATCACATCTCTAAGGTTCAAAGTGCTTACTACACTTTTAGTGTTCCTATTCTCTAAGCTACTACATGTGGTTTTAAAAAAAAATATTCTAGCCTTGCTCAATATGACTTCAGAAGTTTGGGGAGAAGGAAGGACCTCAAGAGCCAATTAGCAATTTCGTGATTGTACCCTCATGCTATCATCAATGTTCCTCACCAGAAATTTCTATTCCCCAAAGAGTTTAGTAACTTCCACAGGGAGTTGAGAACTCAGGCATTAAACGAGTGGATTTTATTTTTATTTGTTATTTTCCACTTACGATGCAACTAGCAGCCTACCTCTAGGAGCATTTACAATTATATAAATAAAAGCATTAGTCCGTCAGCCTTCTCCTAAGTAGTCCAAGCCCATCAGCTAAACAAACCCTGAAGCCTCTTCACACAATTCCATTAGAAAGAGACTATAGCTAAAGCATGTACAAAGTGTTACTCTGCAGGATCGAAGGATGTTGTATAGCTAAAGGGAAAGGCATTTGTTGTATTAGTTTCTTTATTTACGAATAGTTGCTGGGCGTGTCCTAGAATGGAAAGAATAAGAATCTTTTCTTGCTTTCCAGAGGAAGTATAAAATTGTGGCACTGACCTCAGCATGGTCTACCATGAAATATAAGTGGTTCAGGTCATTACAGCAAGCATCTCTTTTTGTATCTCAGATACATATTTGTCCTCATGGTAATGGTGTTTGAATTGACCCTACCCCGTAATGCATTTACTCTTTCAATTTACCCTGGTGATTCACCCCCCACCCAATTAAATTAAACTCCTGCATCAAACAGAAAATGTCAAACTCTTTCCCTACGTCTTTCACTGTAACTGTAATACACCTGCATGTTGTAGGAGAGTTTGAACGCAAAGAAAGCTTTCTTTCTCCTCCAAGCCATCTCTTTGTTTCGAGCTAGTTCTCTGTAGTACCTTTTGATCATTGTAGAGATGCCATGCTGTAAAATTGCTAGGAGTTGTTGGTAATATCCTGAGGAAATCAACATCGTTTAGATTTGTTTTGCACATTTAACCAGGCACGTACAAGCCACAGAGAAGTAGAAGAAAATGAAATCTGATCTCTGAAGCAAGCCACAGAAAGAGAGCTGAGTTACTAAAAAGCGTGTCCTCTTTGCTGACGTTTGAGGGATAGCTCAGTGGTTTGAGCATTGGCCTGCTAAACCCAGGGTTGTGAGTTCAGTCCTTGAGGGGGCCACTTAGGGATCTGGGGCAAATCAGTACTTGGTCCTGCTAGTGAAGGCAGGGGGCTGGACTCGATGACCTTTCAAGGTCCCTTCCAGTTCTAGGAGATAGGATATCTCCATTATAGAATAGAGTTATGCAAATGAGCTGTGCATTCTCTCTTAACATGAGTTTATTTCTGAAGATGACTAGAATTGTTGCTGATCCTGTATTTCTCCCTTACAGACCGGTCGGATCGAACCAAACTACCCAAAAGTCTGCGGTCACCAGGGCAACGTGCTTGACATCAAGTGGAATCCTTTTATTGAAAACATCATAGCTTCTTGCTCAGAAGACACCTCGGTGAGTAAAAATGATTTGAGCTGATGTCTCCTTTGACATAAAAACTTCAGCAGGAGCAGAATGTGAACATCCTGCATTCCTCTCAAAGGGTGGTAAAAGCGCTTTGTCAAGCTTCTAGGGTTATCGTAGGCTCCATCTGTCCGGAGTGAGTCATACCATGCTCACTTTATTGGCATGTAATTTTTGGCTCCTGTCGTGGGCTTGGGGGAAGGTACCAACGATGAAGCAATAGAGGAATTTATGCTGCTAGGGCTCTAATACTAGAGGGTTGGGACACTGGCTATCTTGCAAAGTGTGTATGTGGGTGAGAGAGAGAGATTTATTTTTAAAGGTGAAATAGTCACATATACAAAAATTTGAAGTGATTGGATGAGGTGACTAGCAATATGCCCCAACCGTGACTCTGAGCAGGTGTTTTGTTAGTTACGCCATCTTGATTTGGATTTTTCCAAAGGGTTTTTGTCACTCTGGTTTCTCGTCCTTTCTCTGAGGGGCAGAACCTGGTTCGTGATCCTTAAGGCGGGATTTGATGCACAGCTTGCGGGAATGGGCTGTAATCCCAGGGGGCCCTATGGAAGAAGGTCCAGAAAAGAGGGGGGGGGGGAGATCATTATACAGCTTGGGTGGAGGGAGGATGTGAAAAAGGAGGGAGCAGAGACAGATGAGCAAAAAGGCAAGAGGCAACAAAGCAACTTGAATTGGTGTCGCAAAAGCAGTGACTGCCCCTTCCCAATCTCTTCATCCATCACTGGGGTCATCCGTGACCTAGGGGACACAGCCGCCTTCTCCCGCACACAAACACCTGGCCTCGTGCATTTTCCCCCCACTGTATAAAATGCGGGTAGTGCTGCAAGCTAAGGACGGGTCAGGGGAACGGCCCCAGTAACCACAAGGAGGGAGGAAGGGGCGGGGTCACTTTGGAAGAAACAAATACTTGAGACACGAATCAACCACAAGCTATTTCCAAACCTTGGAATGATTTCTAGGGACTCCTGCTTCAGCCTGCTGAGAAATGGGGCTCGGGCCGAGCCGCTGGCTGTGTGTGAGAGAAGGGGATGTTCCCTGCTCGCATGGTCTGCGGCGATTTCTGAACTCTCCTTTTCTGTTCACAAGAGCTCCTGTTCAGATGTCTTCCCCCACCCTCGCCCTTCCTGTCTCTCCCTAGCTCAGAAAGTCCCTGCTTTGAAGCATCCACATTCATCATCCATCTATAGATATTACGAACAGCAGGTATCCTCCGCCTCTTGTGAGAAACGTTAAGGGGGAAGGAAGAGGAAAGGGTATTCTCCTGTTTCAAACCTCTTACCCTATTTCCCCCTTCTCAGGAGAGCTCCTCCTTCCCCAACCTAACAGATTCTGCCAGCACAGGGAGGGTCCTGAGCCAAAGGCAGACCACTCTGCCCCTCCCGTAAAGCCCTAACCGAACTCCTATGTCTGACTTGACTTTGTCAGGGTCATCAGCATCCTGGCAAGGGGAGGTGTGGCTTCAGTGTGTGGCTGGTGCAGTCCAGCTGGGGCCACCTGGCAAAGTCCCCCGGGTCTCCACACTAGGCAGCTGAAAGAGGAGCGGGGCCCATGTTCCATGCAGGCTGGTGGGAAGAAGAGACTGGTAGTTGTTAAGACTGCTCACGGAAACTGGCATGTGCCGGAAGGAGGGGGATGGCAGATCTAGGGGAAGCACGTCTGTTCTACGGGTAAAAGCTGGAGTAAATTAGAAGGTTCTGGAGCCGTGTGCTGCGGTTTGCGTGGCTTGTGTTAGCATTTCTGTTGTCTTTCTTTATGCCCCCTACAAAACAGACACGGGTGTTTTAAGTGCTTCTGATTTTAACTGTGAAATTTTAAATGACACATTTATGCAGCTTACAATGAGCTCTGACCTGGTGTTTTATGTAAATCTGTAGCTGTTGTCTGGCTGAATCCAGTTCCCTCTGCTATACAGTGATGTCATTTATCGTTGTAGTAGTGTTCTTTTTATAGCCCATGCTGCAGATAAGCAGTAGGGCTGTGAACAAGGATGTCTTGTTTCCACCCAACAGCTATTATTAATCCTTCTTACTATCAAAGACCACAGGGGCTGCAACTATTCTAGTGTCTAGAGATATATCAAGTAAGGGGGGGGAAAGGTAGTCTTACAATGTGGTGAACACTGAGTCAGACCGTCTTTATTTGGCTGCTGTTTGCCTCCACTTCTTTGTTTTCTGGATACTAACATTTCCCTCTGGAATAGTGCATTGCACTAAAAAGCTGCCTTTGTACAAAGTAGTGTGTGAAAGCTCAGCAGAGCAGAAATGGGAATTTGTGGTGACCCAGTTCTTACTGGTTACAGTTCTGCCTCAATAGATCTTATAACATTTCTGTATATTAGAGAGACAAGGTCGGTGAAGGAATATCTTTTATTGAGCCAACTTGTGTTGGTGAAAAAGACAAGCTTTCGAGCTACACAGAGCTCTTCTTAGTTCTGAAAAATGGGGGGGGGGGGGAATCAGTTTGGGTAGAACCGAAATTGAATTTTGGGGGACTTTTTGGTAAATCAAAACGTCTGGTCAAGTAAAATGTTTGTTTCAGGCATTTTTAACCTTTGTAATAAAAGAAGGAAATGAAAGGTTAGACCCACAAAACTGAAAGGAGGAAGGTGCTGGTGGTGCTTTAGACCCTTTCTCTCCTTCTCTGGCCCAATGATTCTTCAGTATTTTGTATAAATTGGAACCGTTCCAATGGGAGAGCTTGAAGGGGAATACCCAATAGCCCAGTGGTTAGAGTTCCCATCCCAGTTCCAGAGCAGGGAGTTAAACTTAGGTTCCCACATTGCCTGGTGAGGCCTCTAACCACGAGGCTACTGCAGTGTAAAGGGGCTACTGTCAGCGACCCCTCCTAATCCAGCCTGAACAATCCAAGGTTTTAATAATGTTGAATCGATTCATTTAGACCCTTCTGGAAAAATACTTCATTTTGACTGAAACAATTTGGTGAAATCAACACAAGATGGTGAAGTGTTTTGGCCAACCCATTTTTTTGGGGGGGGCGGGGAGAATGTCAGCCTAAAATGCCAGCTCTAATGCGAAGTTCCAAATGTCCATTCTATGTGCTCTGCAAATGCCACTTGTTGTTGATGCAGTAGCACTATTTGTTGTAATCACGTGCATTTGTCACCCACTGGTTGTTCTATTTCATGAACTTCCTTTGTCACAATACAGTTTTAATTTGCAGGGTGCTTTACAAACACAGACAATATGCTGGAGCTCCAAGTCAAACCTAATGTAAGTAGGTGTTAAAGGCTATGTATGGCAATTTCCTTGTGTCCTGGTTCTCTAGCCACTTAAAAAAATATACTGAAATTGCACCACTCCTACAGCTGAATTACCTAATAAATTGTATTTGTCCTATGTTCAGGTTCTGAACTGCCTACTTTCATGTCAGAGTGACCTCATTCTGGGATAGATGGGCAACTAGGAAGCTGCCTAAAACTTGAACGTTATAAGCAGGCGACTGCAAAAATGTTAATTGTAGGACCCTATTACAGTAACATTAAAGATGACATAACTATACCATAAACAGGAGGGCAAACTTGCGACCACGTTGCAAATTACCAGGCACAGCCTGTCAGCGGCATGGGTGCTTGGTGCCCCCTATCAGAGCACCAGAGTTTCCTTTAGAGGGGAGAGAGACACCCATTCCTTCTTGGGGTCTGATCACAGCCTGAGAGAGACTTCAGAATGTTTAAAAGCTGGCTGACCTTTATGGTGTATATCCCTTTCCCAGAACTCTCACAGTTGCTACTCCACCCCAGAGCTCTCTTAATGATTGATTTAATCAGAGGAGAAGATATACACTTCTGTAAACATCTTTCCAGAGGCTAGTAAAAGAACAAGCCAACCCCCGCACCAGTAGAACAGGTGCATGTTGTGCAATAGGCAGGTAATACACTGCAGAGACGCATTTTGTTTTTGTTACTTGTTCATGACGTGAACACCTGTCACAGGTTGACAGTTCTCTTGATCTAATGTGTGGCAGGCTTCCAAGTTGAATTCTTAGACTGCTCTCGTTATCCAGATTGCTAGCTAAGGAAATGAGGAGGCGAATGTGTTATATGTCCAAAGAACATCCCAACGTTTCAGAAAATGAGACCATTGGAACAAAGCTCACCCTAAGTATTTGCAATGCAGTAACCCCTTTAGCTTCCCATTTGGACTCCTTACCAAAGAGGGAAGACCATTTGCAGTTATCACCACTGAGATTCTGGGATGCACTTCAGACCAGTGAGGAGTTATCACCACCTGCCTTGCAACCTTGGGTGCCTCACAATGCTTTGCTGCTGTAGCTGCTAACCGGGGCTCCTCACAAACAGCATGCAGGTCACACCCGAAGTGCCTGGATATAGCTGCAGCCCTGGTCCAGCAGCCTGTCAGCAGCACACCAGTCACGCTCTGGCTTGCACCAGCCTTGGTGGCTTCTTGCAAGGTGGCCCCAAGACAGTCTCAGTCCCAGATTTTCCCAAACCATATGTTCTGCGCTGTCTAGCTTTCTCCTGGACAGGTCAGTTATTAAGATCCATTGCCCCTTTAAAGAATCAATATTCAACAGTTTCTCCTTTAGGTCCACTTACCTAACACAACACTGGGTTGGTTTGGGTTAAAAATAAAACAGGTTTATTAACAAAAGAAGATGGGGCTTTAAGTGAATTCATGTGTAAGAGATTATGTTACAAATGGTTACAAGCAAATCGAAGTGAAAACACGGGTCTAAAAGTCTAAAATTTAATCTAGCAAGGTTTGGTTTGAGGCTTTGTTCAAGCCGGCTGTTCTCACCCATGGTCATCCACATGGTGACAGACCTCTCCTTGGTCAGGATCTCTCCCAGAGCCCCAAAGGTGCTGGTTCCTTTGTCTTCATATGGGAAAGAGAGAGAACTTGGGGTCGTCTGCCCCTTTCTTTTAGACTCCACTGAACCTTTGAAGTTGATGCTTCTGAAGGTTGCCCCTTAATGCAAAGTTTATTCAGATAGTGAGGAAGGTGACATGCAGCCTGGTGGTAAAGTAGGTGCCCTGCTCTTTCATAGAATAACAGGGTTGGAAGGGACCTCAGGAGGTCCTGCTCAAAGCAGGACCAATCCCCAGACAGATTTTTGCCCCAGATCCCTAAATGGCCCCCTCAATAATTGAACTCACAACCCTGGGTTTAGCAGCCCCATGCTCAAACCACTGAGCTATCCCTCCCCCCCTTCTCACCTGTGTTTGCTGACATGCAAATTTGCTGTGTCTCCTGCCATCTTCAGTACCCCATTTACTATTTATATGTAACTTGAGATAAACACACCTTCCTTTGCCTAGAAGAGATAGGGTTGCCAACCCTCCAGGATGGTCCTGGAGTCTCCAGGAATTAAAGATTAATCTTTAATTAAAGGTTATGTCATGTGATGAAACCTCCAGGAAGACGTCCAGCCAAAACTGGCAACCTTAAGGATAGACCTGCTTAACAACTTTTGCCAAGGCAGGACTGTGTGATTGTGTGCTAATAACATCATACAGGAGGATTTCATAACTTTATATATAATGTTGCTACATGTATTTCACCATGATATAACTGACCAGCGAGTTAATAGTTTTCAAATGATACCACACAAGGCATATTTTGTACAAAGATGATTACAATGGTGTGAATACAGGGGTGCTTTTGGTCAATCCACCTTCTAGAGCAGGGGTCGGCAACCTTTCAAAAGTGCTGTGCCGAGTCTTCGTTTATTCGCTCTGATTTAAGGTTTTCCGTGCCAGTCATACATTTGAACGTTTTTAGAAGGTCTCTTTCTATAAGTCTATAATATAGAACTAACCTATTGTTGTATGGAAAGTAAATAAGGGTTTTAAAATGTTTAAGAAGCTTCATTTAAAATTAAATTAAAATGCGGAGCCCCCCGGACCGGTGGCCAGGACCCAGGCAAGTGTGAGTGCCATTGAAAATCAGCTCGCGTGCCGCCTTCGGCACCTGTGCCATAGGTGCCTACCCCTGCACTACAATATGTTAGAAAATCTGAACTGACTTTGAAGATCTGGGGCCTTAGTGTAAATGAGAATCAAGCCTCAGATGTCCCAGATAACGGGAACCAAGACATTAGCTGGCAGCCCCCAAAGGACAGAGGCGAACATGGGGGAGGGGAGGCACATGGAGTCATGTGCCCTTCCCCGCCCCCCTCCAGTTGCTGCTTGGCTTGTACTGAGCATGCTCAGTAACATCTGCTGAAACCACCGCCCCCCCCCCCCCCCCCCCCACACACACAATCGGCAAGTACAGGTCATCTCTGCCAAAGGAGGACACTTAGGCCATTACCATTTTGTGAGTGAACTTCATGGAGTTATTCTTCCAATATTTACTGAAGTTTGTGGGCTCTTTTATCTATTTCACTAGCATAAACAACGTGT